TTCAGTGGTGTTCAACAGTTGTGACTTGAACTTTGACACAAGTCAAGTAATATCTAGTGTACATATGACATGTACATGTAACTTTTAAACCACACACAGAGTCAAGATTGTCCATGAAAAACCATTTATTTTAGAACTCAAATAAAGACACAATACCTAGGGAATTTATTGATGTTTGTTGTAAGTTCACCACATTGACACGTAAAGGTAATCGACCCTTTGCCCTAGTTGTGGACAGTACTATTCTTGTGACAATTAGGATTTTTGATTTTGTTTCAAAATATCACCATGACCTTTTTTCTCCCCATACTGTTGTCAATTTTGCATTCCAAACATAGATACTACAGTGTCAACATGTTCATGAAAACATTATCGTGAACTGAAATGCATGTACTGGTACACATGTACATGTACGTGTGTGGCACTACCGGTACATTCTGTGGTACACATACATGTACATGTATGCAAATGCCGGGGCTGCCGAGAGTAGAACTGGCCTGGGCTCGAGATGTTCCCAACTGTACGGTACACTCCCTCCATGACACGGTGAAAGTACATGTACCGATAAATGTATCATCCGGTGGGTGCCCTACAACCAAAAATGTTGCTTCGTATTATTTTAAGCTGGTATTTGGACTTAATTTGTTTCCATAAAGACAGAGGATTTTACATTAATTCGGCAAACTTTTTCAGTTGTTTTCTCTGGTAATTTTTTTTATTGCACGTTGTACAACTATAAAACATACTGTCGGTGTTCAGCTGTCTCGTTGAATCCTCCCCGGACAATACATGAACCGGTGCCAGCTTGCTGGCAACTGCATTGTTGATGGCGTCTTCTTCCAAAAGTTTGTACTATAATTTGTTATGGCAAAATGGCTTCAGTGCTGCTGATCATGCTGATGTTGTCGACAAGGTGATTCTCATTGTAGGAGTTAGAAGAAACCAAATGATCATCAGCGTCACTCATACTCATGGGACTGCTGGGCTCAGGGTCCTACATTAATGTGTACAAGCTACAGCAAACAGTTGGTATGGTATTCTGACTCCCGCATTCTGCGTCACAACTTTACAGAATGGCCAAATAAAACCAACGACTGTTCTTTTTCTGTTTTATGTCCACTGGACCCCAAAGTTCACGAACTTTGCTCTCGCATTCAATTTTAAATACCGCACACGGTGAAAACAAAAATGAGACCTTGTCTATGGTATATAGGTACATGGGCCTGCTCTACATGTACATTATAAGGCATACATCACTAAGCAAAAATGTCCTCCGGCGCTGAACTACATCTCTTAACCCAAATTATTAGCTAATGTTGTTTTGTTTGTTTTGGTTTTGGAGTTGTTTTTTTTTTTTTTTAAATATGTTGTCAATTGCATGCCTTACCGGATACACCGTGTACACACGCGTACATGTACACATACTTCCTAAAGACCTGCATTTGTATGTAAACTTGCCTAGATGAGATAGCATGATTCTCACTTTTTGTAAAGTGTACCAATACGTGTGCATTTATGTATTTTTGTGCAATCCTTTGACACAGGCATATTGTACATGTACATGTAGCTACCAGTACAGGTGCTCTGATTCATACACGTATGCAAGTTGGCATATTGCCGATTGTGAACACAACTCAAGAAGACTGCTGCTAAGGTTTAATGTAAATATTTCCCATTTGTCAAGCTGTCCATGAATATCAGAAACTGTTTAAACATGGTAATCTTGTATCTTTACACAGTGTACATGTATATGCTTTGTCAAACCGTAGATAATCTGACATCACATTTTGGGGAAGGGGGGCTAAGGCTCGGGGAAAAAAATCAGTAGCAACCTTTGGAATGAAATACAGATTTTTTTTTGGACCTTTGGACCAGTGGAAGTGGGCATAATTTCCCATGGAGTATAATGTGATAATCATGATGGATTGCAGTCATCTGTCATCCTCATTCCTGTCCTAAGTGGATGCACAATCATTTGTGTATTAATAGCCGTGACATTTTCTTGCCTTTTACACACTACCTGAAATTTTGAAGTGGTTAGAAAAGACGGACCATCTACACATCACTTGTCCTCTGCAAGAACACACAAACTCATGTGCACATGTATGCCGGTGTGGACGCAGTGTGTATGCAACGATAAAAGATGTGATAAGATTGTTTTCTACCGGTACTTTATGCACTTATCATCCATTGTTGAATCATCCATTGTGTGAGTCCCTCTATTAACCCTAACAGTACCGGGCGTTGTTTTGCTTAGAGTACTCAGTACTACAAAATACTACGTAACACTCTGAGCCTGAAGGACCTAGCGCTACAAATTACTATTTCTGGCTAGGTTTATTCCATTGTTACTCGTACAGAGAACAATGAAACTATGCATTCATAGTGCCATAGCACAGTATGGTACATGTACATTGTCTTCTCTATTGTATCTTTTTGGCTTTGGAGAATAATAATGCTGTGTCCTCTTACAAGCGACAAGGCTGAGTACTACATTTTACTACTAAGTAGTACTTTGTAGCACTCGTGACTGTTAGGGTTAAATAAAGACTGAGATACGTACATGTACATGTAGTACTGGGAGAAAAACTGTACATGAAATTCAGCACATGCTCATGTTCCTGTACAAGTAGAAGAAAATAATTCAAGATTGACAGTGTCCACATGAAAAACTGCAAAGAATCTTTGAACCATATTTAATACATGTACATGTACTTCACATGAGTCTTTGATGAGATGAAGTCCTACTCCTATGAAAAACCACCAACTGGTACTTAATGTATACCAAGTACATGTACATGTATGTTCATTCATTAGTATTTTACTTGAAGTTTTTAACTTCTGTTTTTGTAATTTCATGCCGTATGAAACCATTTCTAAGGTACATGTATACAAAGTGTGACACTCAAGTATTGATAATGATGATAATAAGGGACATACATGTATGCAGTTACGAGCATATGCCGAATGCTTAGGGTAGATTACAATCAAGAATAAAACCAAAGTATCAAATTTAAAGCACTTCAGGTCAGAGATCGAAGAGAGAGAACCAGTCTTACAAGACTGTTTCATTCCAGGGATGAGGTCCTGCCTGAGGTAATGATCGATCACCCTAGGAATTCAGATTGTGGAGAACAATATGCAAAGAGGCATTGGAAGATCTCCAGGCTGATTCTGGATTTTGCCTAAGTTACATTGTTGAAACCTGACAGATTTACATGCTTGTAAGTTGGGACCATCCATGATCGAAACATGTACATGTACATACATGTATGAGCGAAAGGTGACTCCAAGATTTCTACAGACACCAGTTGTTGACAAATGAACAGAAGATTCATTGATGCAGATGCTGTGAAGATTAACCTCTTGTTGTGACCTTGACCTAAACATTGTAAATTATGATTTACATATGTTGAATGGACCCTTTCAAAATTCTCATCGCATCATTGTCATTGGATGATAATCATGCCATGCATTTTTATGCATGCACCAGTGGGTGAAGTCAACCAGTCAAACATCAGTTGCTATTTTTTCCAGAATACTTTTAGAATTTTCCAGACTGTTGGCACAGTGTACCTACATGTACTATTACTCATCAAGTCTCAGGTGAATGCAGATGACTGAGTTTTTCTGTGGGGCTTGTGTGTTGTAAGAATGAAATAGCATCACGACAACAGAGCCACCCTAAAGGATAGACTCTGAATTTGTTGACAGTCAGAAATATTGCTGGTACATGTACATGTCTTCAAAAGACATATTTTCAGTGTAAATCTACATATACCGGTATATGTTGTGTCACAGTCAAATACATGTACGTGTACGCCACTTCGATCACACGCATATGTGTACTTTATGTGTAAGCGGTTAGTAAAAGAACTATACTTCATTTCAGTTTCTAACAGGGTTTCTGCAGGCATGACCACAGGGTTAGTATACACATTGCACACAGGGGCAGATCTAGGATTTTCCAAAATGGGGGAGGGGTGTTTTTACTTATTATTTTTCAGGGGTTTTTGTAACTTGCCAATAAAAATTTTAGGGTTGCAGCCGGAAAATTAGGGAGGCTGGGTAACCAGAGGGAAAACTGTTGTTTTTTTTACTACTTTGTCCTATTTTTGGGGCTGGGTCCCTCAATCTTTAGTTCCTCTCCCTCCCTCTTTTTCTTCTATTTTATATATTTGTTTGGTGAAAAAAAAGGGGAAGGGACATGCTTACCTATGCCCCACCCCCCTGGATCTGCCCCTGTCGCATGTGTAATTTGCAAAATCTAAAATTTCAGTACATTTGCAATGTACATTGTGCATGTACATACATGAACATGTGTACATATCATGTGCCCCTGTACAAAATATTGATTATTGCCTGGTGTTTTCTTATGATTTCAGCTGTTTCTTTCCTACCGGCACATGTACATGTACATACATGTATTTAACCCTTGCCTCCATGCCCTTGCAGAAACTTACTGTGATTCCCTGTAAGCATTTCTTTGCATATACAATGTCTTCTGGTGGTTCCCACATAGATTTCCCAGTATCTATCGTGGCAGAACATTTATTCCTTGTGTGACACACTGAATGAGCTGTGTGTATTAACTGAGGGAAATGACATCATTCAATGTCATAAGACATTTAATCAACGGTGCACTTGCATTAGAGTTTTACAAAGCAGAGCTGTTTCTACTGGATTAATCAAGATTCCTGTACAACTGCATTACTCCAACATGGAAACCTTCCAGAACCAGTGCGGGTCTGTTAAGATGCTGCAGCCACAGTTGGGTTGATACATGTATTTCCAATTGAAGAATTCCCCCCCCCCCCAAGGGAAGTTTCAACAAAACAGAGTTGTTATTTAACAATGTGATTGGAACACAGACCATGGTGTTGCTGTATATGTACATGTTCATTGTAGGTGATGAATGGTACAATCATGCCTAGTGTACTGTTCTTAACATGTCTATGTTTAGTGTAACGGGATAATTTGTATTGTTTTGAGCATTTCAGGTTGGTGAAGGAAGGGCACTGTACAACCTGGGTAATGTCTACCATGCTAAGGGGAAGCATGCCGGTCGAGCAGGCCACCAGGATCCTGGAGATTTCCCGGAGGAGGTCATTGCGTGCCTCAAGAAAGCAGTGGAGTATTACGAGTAAGTGACTGCATTTGAGCAACTGTCAGCCTCCAGTTACATAAAAACGGAATTTAATATTACGTCAGTCTACATACATGTACATTATAGTATGAAGCAATTATTTGAATGTGCATTGGGTCACACATCAATAGCAAATTGCAGTTCAGGTCTCACTTGCATTTTGGCAAATGGCAGGCTGTTTTTTGTACATCTTCAGTTTGAAATCCGTTGCATTCTCTGCTTATTGATTCTAGGCTTTTGCTCTTCTCTACCCTCCATGTAACTTTTTCCTTTGGTATTTTTAGTGACTCACACAAAAGTTAATTCTGCCCTACAGCAGGACATGTTTGTCAGACTTTACTATTAGATTCCTTTGAGAGTTTGACAATTTGCTCTTATAACATAAAGACATTCAGTGTGTTTGTATACACATTTTAACTGTCACCTTCTGGTGGGTCCTGTTGAGTTCATCCGGCAATGCATTGATACCCTGAGGACAATGCGTGTACATGTACGTACACAGTGCCTGAATTACCATTTAGATTTGAAGACTGTCATATCCCACCTGCTCTATACAGCATGGTTAAAATAAACCCCAAACATACAGGTACATGTGGGGCATGGAAGGGTCAAAGCAGATGCCCACACCCACTCTCTGAGTAATGAAGCTCAGAATATAAATGCCTCGAGGTATGACTCAAAAACATTTGCCTGATGGACTCAAATACGGTACACTGCTCCACCTCCCCCAAAATGTCCTCATGACTGAGTATGGACACTTACTCAGACACCAGCTATATGGACACCAGCTATACCAGCTATAGTGCTTTGAAGGTGTTAGACATTTAACAAGTGAGATCGATGTGGGTCAACAACAGAATGTTGATTGATCTTGGTATCCCATGCTGTAACAAGGAGAAGTTTGCAAAATGTGGTTGTGTGATCGCCCATGTTAGCCTTTTTCCACAAAACAGGGCCAGCTCCATGAGTTTGAACCCTCCAACAATGGTATTGCTGGTTGAATTATTCATAGCGGTACAAAACCTTGAATGCCATGGATCTTTCCAGTGGCCTGTTACATGTATATTTTCACACCATACCGGTACATACATGTTCCATTTTTTCAATGTAATATCTTCTGCCTGTATGAGAAAACAGTTACCATTATCACCTTTGGCCATGCAGTGTGCATGTACATGTACTTTGTAAGTGTACTGTCCCTGGAATAGACTTTGGCAGACAGCAACTTAACATTTCAAAGCACTCAGCATTTTCTTCGATAGAAGATATATATATGCAAACCTTACATGTAAGTCTTAAGTATTAAAGGGATTATCAACACACTTCAGTCATTTCATCAACTTTTAGGTTGAATCTAGCCATTGTCAAGTCACTCGGAGACAAGGCGGCCCAGGGTAGGGCATGCGGTAACCTAGGCAACACGCATTATCTCCTTGGTAACTTTGAGACGGCAATTGGATTCCACAAAGAGGCAAGTTATTTTAGTTAAAATAATTTCTTTCTGTCTGTCTTGGTCAGCCGGTCTTGTTTTAAGTTCCTCCGTTATACATTGTTTATGTCGTCAGCACAGATTTGTTTTGAATATACCCGAACTGCCCCTAGTTATGTTTTCATAGCTAAAACAATTGATTTTAACTAGTTTGTTAATTTTTCAAATGAATATCATTGCCAAAAAAAAAAAGTAAAACCACGTTATGTCTGACCATAAACAGATCGATCAAATAGCACATCTTAACCTGAGAAAAGTACATATGTTCTGTTTACTCTGAAGTTATAAATGTATCTCTTGAAAATATGAATGTGCTTCACAATCTTAGCGACACACTGCTTCTTAAATCACTATTCCACTTTGAACACATTACATCTCACCTACCATAACTTTTTACCCCCTTTTTGATCCTGTGAATTTGAGTTCAGGTACATGTATGATGAGTCAAAACCTGTCCACTTCTTTACAGTACATGTACATGTACATATGTCAACTTTTCCATCTTCTCTGAGGTTGATCTCATCAATGTTCACCTTTTACAAGAGTAGGAGACCTTCTAGAACCTCTGCCAGCAAGTTATTGCACTTTTTTTAAGTCGGCATTCACAAACGGTCGTACATGTACAATGTACATGTAGCTTGGTCAGCCATATTAGCTCATGTACATGTACTGTAGTTCTTCTGTCATCTACATCTGTTGTTGCTTTGTCTCGTAGTCAATGAATACTTTGTTATGAAGTGCAGGATTCACTTTGGAAGACTTCACATTTTGGGAGACTTAAACAGTTTCCCCTTGGAGTTGGTTTCCACTCAGGATTCCCAAGTTCCCCAAGTCATGGAAAATCCCTGTGATCTTGAGAAAAAAAAATTATCCTTGAACATGTTGAAAGTCCTGAAAAATTGGCAAAAAATAGGGCTTCCTTGGTTGCTGTTACTGGAGGGAAAAGTCATAGAAAAGCCATGGAAATCAAGATAAGATCATACAAGGTGTCTTTTTTTACAGGATAAATTTACAGGCTATAATGGTAAATTTACAGGTACTGGTAATATCCTTCTCAGTCTGTTAGTGGCTATGGCAATCCTCCATTTCATAATAACTAAACAGTTTGCTCTGTCAAATAGCATTAAATGTCGTGGAAGTTGTCATCTTGTCCTGAAAAGTCCCCCAAAAGTCATTGGATTTGGTTTTCAGAATACTGTGGGAACCCTGCGCAGAGTGCGGTCATTGTCTTAGTTGTGTACATGTACATTACATCATGGGCAAACTTTGGAATGAGTACATGTGTGTGGTCATGTGACAGGCTGACAGCCATACTATACATGAACATGTGTTAGGTCTGTACAGTTTAAGCATGGTATCAAGGATGTAATGCATGATTTACTACAGGTGCATGTACATGTAGGTAGGTCAAGGAGGCTGTCCTTCAGATGACCAGGGAGTCTGGCCGTGGGATAATGTTTTTTCCAAGGAACTTTGGGAAGAACTGCACCTGCAGACTGATGCAGTACTAAATGAAACCTTCTGGACAAGGGCAAATCATCTAATCTGTTACCTCAGAAAAAGTCCTACTAACACTGAAATACTCTGTGAGGTAAAAACTAGCAGGGTATGGAAAGGAGAAAAAAAGTACCAGAAAAGTCTGTGAGGGTTTGTAATACAATTGCATATTGAACTGCATTTTAAATGCATTTGGTGTGTGTACGGTATTAACCACTTGCTGCCGGGGAACCCCGTCTCGAGCACCATGGCTTTATACGCAGAGCTTGGGTGCCCGATATGGGACAAAAGAACTGGTCTGTGTAACAAAAGACTGTACTTGGAGGAACAAAAGACCTGCTGCTGGGAATTGCCATCATTTTTCGGCTTGCATTTTTCGAAGGTAATCAGTCACTGTTTTTGAACAGTGTACCACTGTTTTGGGCATAGTGCGCCCGCTAGATGCTAATCCAGCCATGTTTGAAAAGACGCCACTTGCATTCACTGAGGACAAAGGAAATTACACAACACCTCACAATTTTGGGCTCCCTTTACAGGGCAGCAGGCCTGGCTGAAATATTCAGGAGTCAATGAAGGTTACCTGTCAGCTTAGAGTAGTCACCAAACAGTCATTCGTGCGGGTATAAAACGTTCATTAAATTAAATTATGAATTTTTGAAGAATTTTGAAAATCTTGAGAATATCTTGTATGTGTGCACTGCATTTTTAAAAGCACCCGGCAGCATGCGGTTAATCAACCGTTTTCTTTACTTCAAAAGAGTTAACCAAAGATTGTGTACACGTATTGGTGTACATTTGCGTAGGTTTTTTGCAGTAAACATGTACACATACATGTATGCAAGGCCAGAACTAAAATTCGGCAAATGCGGACATACATGTATGTGTGTGTTTCACAGGCTACATTCACACAAATTCATATGATAATGCTAGTAAATTAATTTCTGCTGGTCATTTGCATTAGTTTCTGGGGATTGTAGCCTGAATTGTTAAGCCAGCCTGCTTGCTTATCCTCGAGCATCCAATTACAGGGACATGTTTGCCTTGAACTACAATTCGTCAGTACCCGCATAAATTTCAGTTCTTTATGGACATTGAAGAGAATGTGGCTCTTTCATGTTGTGGAGTGCTCCATGAGTCATTCTCCTGGCTCCTGAAGTGGTTTGCCTACCCTGGGGAAAAATGCAAATGAGAACAAAAGGCTGATTTCAGGATGTTTTGCCTAGTTTGTCGCATATTTCCTGTGATTGAGAGATGGCAATCAGATTGATTCTTTATGCCCTCCATTGTCTATATTGTCATGCGTTAGAAGAATTAAGCTTTTTGCCTATCCAAACATTTCTTGTCCAGGCATGATCAATAAAAGGATCAAATATGTACATTTACCGGTACACGTACTTGAACCTGGGATGGTTTCCAAATTTCGTTAACTGGCACAGCACCTAATCCTGGAGGCCCACCTTTCTTCTTCAGGTACAGGTACCTAACACAAACAGCATGGTGGGAAAGACTGATTGCTTCCATTGGTTTGCATGATTTATGCTCAACTTGCCCCCCCCCCAACACACACAAAGCAGGTAAACTCGTTTAGAAATTTCCTTTGCTGTCCCAAATCAGAACATTTGATAAATGAAAGTGGAGGGTGAAATTTGAATTTCTATTCTGTTTGCACAGTTGTCCCTTTCGTTTCAGCTTGTTTGAAATGATCCATTATTTTAGTTGCCCCTAGAATATTTCTTTGTCCTCTACTTGTCCTCCCCCCCACTGTAGAGTCTGACACTGCCACTGCCACTGTTTGTGCATGTTTATACTTGATGTAAAACTGAATGAGAACACAAATTTAACATCTCAGCAAGATTTTACACTGTGGACTTGCAATAGTTTTCAGCCCTGAATGTTGCAGGAATGTTCAATTGGGGGCCTCGTGTTTTCCAATACAATTGTTGCCAGTGTTACAATGTACCAGTATACTTCTGCATCAAATATACATGTAATATTGCAAAATGTGCAGTGTAAATGCAAACGAATGAGGTTAGGATTGCAGTTGATGATGTCACATACTCGGGCCCAGGAGTTACATGTACTGTACGTGTACATCGCCAAAAACGGGGAGAAAGAAATAACTCGACAGGTTTCAAGGGCGCGTACCACTTTTGGATATTTATCTCAGATGCGGAGAAATAAAATGATCAGTCTGAAAGAAACCTTAGCCCTATACGGTTTCATTTCAGAAAAAACATTTCCATAATGTTAAGGTAATGTAGATACGTGTACATGTATTTGCGTTGCACAGTTGCAGACATTAATGTGCCCATTAGAATTCAGGCCCAAATTTGTTGTGATGGGTACCGGTACCTCATATTCACGTTGATGTTCATTTTGGTGCTGAAGAGGAGCAGACCTCATCCTCGCTTTCCTGTCCCTCTTTTTTAACCTACGTTGAACATGTACAATGTGCATGGGTACATGTAAGCCAGGCCTGGTTGAAGATGTTACCGGTAGTAGTCTACTTAGGTAATTGCGTTCAAGTAAGATGTGCATTTCCATTTACACTGTAAACCCCATACGTGTACCATTATTGATAGTGATGTCGACAGCACATACATGTACACTGCATGTACATTTGTACGTTGTACATGTACATGTACATGTATACATGTTTGTATGTACCCGATATACCAGCTCAGTCATGCACTGCACCTCTCAGGTTGCTTGGGTTTGCCGAGTCTGCCCACAGTAGGCAATGGTGTTTGCTCCTCAACAACATGTTTGCTGAGGAAATGGATGAGCCTTAATAGCACACTGCATTATTTGTATCTGGGCCAGTCCTCACTGAGCTAAGTAATGGCCTATTTACTCATTGATAATTGATTGGAATTGAAGTTGTACAATCCTTGGTATGGTGGGCAGACAAGATGAGCTGCCATTGTTTTGTGTGTACATGCGCCATTGTTTTGTGTGTACATGGGTAGATTAGTGGACTTGCCACATCCATCTTTTCAAGATGGGCTACTCACTACATTGAAAGAATTGAAAGGAATATGTACTTTGCAGTCAAATGCAGAGGAGGTCTGTTGTGAAAATGATTATGTGGAAGTCAAAAAGACTTTGTGAGGGAGAAGCAGTGTTGTAGAATTAATGGCATGTACATGTATGGCATACGCTAGTGGCCTTTATGCCATTAGCAAAAAGGTCGCTTAGCCATGTGGTAGTACGGCTAGAAATTCAAATAGCTAAAGACACTTGATCAGACAGTAAAGAGTGGATATTATGAGAGCCGGAAAGGAAAAAGAAAAGGACATTAAAAAATGCTACAACAGAATGCCATTAAAGGGAGAAGCATTGAAGAGTTTGGGTGTTTTTATCAGTTACCAGATTTTCTCTTTAAATATTGATGACAGTTGATGAAAGTTGACCTTTAACCCGTGAGTGAGTTTGTACACAGCTCAAGAGGCAACCATGCCGTTTACATTTACAGACTGATTTTTCTTGCCTGTGGGCCCACCTTACCAGATAATAGTCAATAGCACAATGCTTCTGCAACGTACGTGTACACCTGTACAGGAGAAACATGTATGTGCACAACAGCCTCATGACTGGTATCGGAAGAATTCCTTCTTTAGCAATGAACCAAGGCATTTAACTAAACAGCCCTCCTGAGGATTTATATCTTTTCTTTTCAGTTTAAAAAGTTCAGTGTTATTACATGGACTGGCACCAGGTATGTTTTTGCTCGTGCTATTCTGAATAGTATTTTTTCATGTCTGGGTAATGAAATCAAGGGTCCTCGAAACTTCACAGTGACTGCTCCTAGAGGCCTGAGGAAACCTAGTAAAAGAAGACAAGAAATTTTCAATGTGAGAAAAACTGTCTGAGAGAAAAGACAAGACACGAAAACCTGGGAATGATATTCCAAGACAACACACAGAATCTGGCAAAACTGAAAATCCCATCCACTACTTGTACTGAAAGCTCACATGTAACTCACCTGAATGTCAGCATGGATCACCGAGTTGGAAGGAGAGGCACATGTACATGTCATGCATGTACATGTAGGTATCACTACTGACATTGTGATGCCTATGCATACATACTTACATGTACACGTGCAGTTGGGTGGTTTTACAAAAGTACATGTACTGTACATGTAGGCCCAAACAATCTCCATCTCTGATAATCACCTGTGTACATGTTGCCATCTTGTTTCGTCTTTGTTTTTGTTACACCTGTCAGCGTATAGAAACTGTGTGCATTGTACATGTAGGTAGCATCCACTGGTCCCCATAATACATACAGTATGTGGATGTACATGTACAGCATGACAATTTGCTACATGTAGCTTGTGCTAATCCGCTCCAAAGCAAGCTACGAGCACAGTTGGAAATGCTGATTTGTACTGACTTTCTGATAAATCACCTCCTGCCTTTAGGTTGACAGGTTGAAAGCCCAAGTTCCCTGACTACTGGTAACAATGAGAAATTGAAGCCTTAAAATAAATTGCTCAATGTACATATGTGCATGTGTACTGAAGCCTTTTTCATGTAAATGAAACGTTGCAGGCTTGTTTTCCACATACATGTATGTCCAGCTTCATTTGTTGTTTGCCTGTAAGGCCACCTCAGGTCTTCTAATTAGGTCTCCCAACTTGTTTTGGGGAGACTTTTACTGACAAAAATTTATGTTCTTTCATCAACAACTTTCTGCTGTGTTTTCTACTCGTAATATCAAAAAAACTCCTACATGCAGTCCATCTGTCACCACACAATGTGATTGACAAATTATGCAGGTTGTCAATCCTCATTTTGGAACAGACTCCCCTGCAGACATTATGAACTACCTGTATCATGTTTTTGTTTGTTTGTTATGGTTTATGTCATTTACTCCTTAGTTGAATTTCTATGGGTCATTCCATGAAGTTCGGGCACAGTTTGTGACGGCGTCCCTTGTTACATCGGTAACATTTATTGCCCACTATTTTCACATTAGAACAGATTAAGTCATTATTATTCACCAAAGATGAAGCACACCACTACAAAAACCCGGCAAGATTTAGAACAGTGTTAATTTAGAATCCACATGCAAGGAAAAAAGATGTTTATTTTCACTGATGTAACAAGGGACGCCGTCACAAACTGTGCCCGAACTTCATGGAATGACCCATGTATATGTCAGTTCTTGTTTTAGTGTATAAAACTTTGACTATTTATCTTTTAAATACGAATAACTTCAACAATGTGTGATAACAATATTTGCTGTTCCATAGGACTGTTTTTGTTTACCTTGTGCATTTCCTAGCATGCAATTCTTGTTGGAAGTTTTTTTTCCCTTCATTTCAGCCATTTTTATGAAATTATATTGGTATGAAAAAAAAAATTTAATTGACCAGATTTAGTCACATTTGTTTCATTACTTCAAATTTGATGAAACCGTCAATCAAAATTACAGGAAAGAATGAAAATCGAGAGCTTCACAGCTGTCCTTGTGGTTTTTCTTTCGTGCTGGACATTTATCCAATAAAGATGCATTGCCATGGAAACGATGACATACATGTAGGCTCATCAATACGAGCAGCTATCAAGTTACCGACCAGGATATTCTTTGTTCTCTGGTTATGCCCACAGTCGATACACATACCTATACACGGTATAATTCGTACAGTGCTGATTACATGTTCGTCTGCTGTGGGGACCAGTTCATGTGGCTTAACAAACTCAAAGCATTTTGCAGGAATTGTTTGCTCTGCTCTTGTTGATTGAAGCGTTAAGTATACTGTACTTTACACTCAAGGGCAAGACATTCTGACGCACACTTACATCCCGGTTTACACTGAAAACAGGATTTAAAATGTCTAAAAAGTCCAGTTCTTTTTAAATGGACTTTTAGGAATTTCCATTCAGGTTGAAGAAATGCTCGTGGTTGTGAAGGGCACTTTCCAAAAATGAAAGAAAATACACAGTGCACATAACGGGTATACGAATTCCTGAAGTACAGGTGTGTGGAACAGAACCCAGTAACAATTACTTTGAATATTGGGATCTCTCATATACCGGTATGTATGTGTGCAAAGTTAGGGTTCAAGAGGCAGATTTTCGTAACGGTAGCCAAAGATGCAGTTAAATGTGATCTTTTGTGTGATATGAGTCAAAAGTCACCGGAGCCACTTTTGAGTTAAAGGCACGAAATAATTTTTATCAGGATGCCAAAATGAGTGATATACATGTAGTGTACATTAAAACATAAAGCCGATTGTACTCTTTCTAATGCAAAGTGAGAAAAGTGGCCTCATGACTCATTTTCACAGAGAGGGTCACAAATGCACATTTTTTAATGCAGTGTGCTAAATATATTTGTTTTCTAGCCAGTTGCATGGGATAATAGTCAAAGTTTGTATATAAATATTCACCATCTGGCAACAGTTAGGACAGTGGGGATTGACAGATGGGAACCCTGGGTAAAACAGCTTATTGATTATCTAGCTAAGCTTTCCAGTAAGCAAAAGATGCGATAAAATGAAGGAGGTCCACTCAAGTCCGGTGTAGGAATCTTGAGATTAGTGACGTTTGTGAGAATCCCATTCATATCCCCGTGAAATAATGGATTTTATCAATTTTGTCACAGAGGCTGTCCATAGCAAAAGAGTTCGGAGACAAGGCAGCGGAGAGGAGGGCCTACAGTAACCTAGGCAACGCCTGTGTGTTTATGGGAGATTTTGAGACAGCGGCTGATTACTACAAGTGAGTGGCCATGCAGTTTTGCACTAAGCCTTGGACAGACACAGAGGCTCATAATACTTCCTGTTTGGGGTGTATTGATCTGAATCGTGACCATGACTAGATCTAAATTACTTGGCTGTAAAGGTTATGGCTGGTTCACATCCAGTAATAATTTATGACTGGTTTTTGCACGGCGCACAAATTTGCTTGCTATCTCCCCAAAATTGCTCCTGGCTCTCAGAGTAAAGCTTTAAGTTGGTGCCCGGGCATCTTTTCATTTTCTTGCACATCCTGATCAGCCTTTTCGGCTGACTGTTAATAGTGCAAGTCATTGTAATTTGTGTATGGGATTCTGAAGACAGGATCACATTTGTTTGTTGCCAGCTTTGAGAGTAATGTGAAGGTTTTAGTTTGAAAGTGCCACTTGAAATTATTATTTTTTAAATATTTTGGGGGCCGTTAAATAGCTGCATACAGTACAGGCTCCGTAAGGGCATGAACGTACAGCTACAAAATTGGCTTTTTCATGAGATTTATGAAGATACATGTAGTTAAACACGTCCTTTAAACGCATTAGGTCTTGTGTAGACTGTTATTGTAGCTGTCACCCAATACGGGCATTTCAAAATACATGAAGTGTGCCTCTAAGAGTTGGCAATGCGTTGGCCAATCGCAATGCCCGAAATTTGTCGACCCAATGCGCATTTGGAAAGGGTCGACGTTGTGATTAGTCAGCGTGTTGCAAACTCTTGGACATGTTGCAGGCGCACTATTGTGAATCGCCTGTATCGAAACATTTCTAGAAGTCACACATTGTTATTTTTGTGAAATAGAGACCTACATGTACTAGTACATGTAGGCATCGTTATCTTTTCAGATATTAGGGGCAGTAAAAAATTCTTTAAAAAATTCCAGCTTTTTATCTCTGAGTGGTACTGCATGAAGATCATGCATGGATAGTCTAGCATATTTTGTCCTTCTAAAATGCCTCGTGGAGACAGGTGTACATGTACATGTTAACACTTCAGTTGTAGGCAGCATGGCTACATTCCAGAGTGCCTGCTCTGTGTACTCGGTTGTAACTTAATTTGAACTGCACCATAACTCAATTTCTTGTGCAGTTAAGCAGTGCACTGCACCTTCTAGCTTTTTGTTTTTCGAATGGCACTTAATCAGCTGTGTGCTTATTGGGAGAAAAAAGGAAACGAGACAACTCAAAACTGAATTTAATGTGGACCTGTATTTTGAATACTGTTCATGCAGACAGGAACAAGTGATTTTTTTCCATGCACTGAAAATAAAGTTGTTTACAAAGGGACTGTCATCAAAGGCTAATACCTGACCGATGCAGGATAGGAAGACCGTTCTAATCAAAGATTATATATAGCGCCGCGTAGCGGCGCAAGATGGGTAATTCGGCCATAAAGGTGTTATTACTATGGGTGCCATTCTAGTGTGAACGTTAATTGTGTGTGCGTGCCTGTCGCGGCGCCTGCGCCTGTGCATTAACAGGCACCGCGCAGGCGTAGTCCAACCAGAATGGCGCCCATGCGATAACAACATTTTACGCGTATTCACGGTGAAGTTCCCCATCTTGCGCAGCGTAGGCGCTATACGATCTTTGGTTCTAATGTCCCACAAGACCATTGAAGACCTTCAGTCTGGAGTCAAGTCAGGAGCTATTCAAATGTATGACAACAACTCACTCCTTTGTCACTGGTCACCCTGTTACTAGTACTGGATCTTGTCTCAACCTCAACACTGTACGCCAGTTAAACCTTGCATTATGACATTTGCCAATATGTATGTGAATATGTGAATTTCCACAGAGGATAAAATTGACACTTTGTATTGATTTGACCTTCTCATTGTCCACCAGGTGAATTCCAAAATATACACTGTATTTCAAGAAAATAAAAAAATCAATACATTTCAGAGGCTTAGGTTTGAGACACCGCAGCATTTGCATGTAAATTCAACTTATTCAAGCAAGGGTAACAAATCACAGCCAGAAGAAAGTCCGTCGCTGTTGATCACTGCCATCTCACCACTGTAATATGAACTGAGTTGCCACTGGATCACACAAAAGCCCATCATCAGATGTCGGTGTGCAACAGCTCAAGATCAGTCTAAGATAAAGCAAGGGTTTGGAAGCTGATCTGTAAGAAGCTCCATCCTGCATCATGTTGATATCAGACGAAGGTGACCTCTCAGCCTGTTACGCATATACATGTACAATGTAGTAGATTGATTTCCAGTTGGAACGCTTGCCAGGGCACCGCAGGCATTAAGAATTGATTAGGGGACAGTGTGCAGCTGACATACTGACTCTTGTATTGATACGTGTGTTGCTAATTAAGGAAGAAAGATGATAGACAGATGCGTCCTCTACACTTAAATTAGTGCTGTACTCTACATGTACACGTACATGTATGTACCGTACTTTGGCTTAATCCAAATTGGGCATTTATGTACAGTACTGGTATTTTACCCCAAAATAGGCATCATATTGTTTTTTTGGGGGCCCCCAAAATTAAAGCCGTATAACCAAACTTGCTCAGTTCTTAGCTCTAAAAAGCAATTGGAGGTCTGTCTTCACCTACATGTACTTTCTTTTCATATTTGCATACATGTAGCCAGAAAAAAATACCTTCAACTGCCACTATGTACAAGGACATACATGTACATACATAAATGACAGTTTCCAGATGTCCATGTCAATGCATCTTGCCTTCATTTGGAATGTATACATGTACATGTATGTGTAAGTACAACATTAAATGTACATGGATATTTATGGCATGTGTGTACGAGTGCATGTACATGTAAGGTAAGCAAGGTAAAAAGAAGATTTTTTCCTACTCCACCAGCAGTGACTTTACCTTGAAAAATCCCTTTCTTTCTGCTGAGTCGGCTTTGTCAAGCAAGTCCTGTGTGCGCATCTCTCTTAGTGTTTTATTTTAGAAGTTCTTCAGATTTCACTTAGTACTGCAGTTTTTTCACAGCTGGGTACAAAATACGTGGACTAGTGATAATGCATGTATGTTGCTCATTGGTTGCTTGACCAGATCCACCTTGAACCTGTCTGTAATGTCAGCAATACTACACAGGATACTTATAACGGACACTCTGCCCGTTTGTTTCACGTGGCTGCAGATCATGATCAGTATTTCTGTGTTGGTCACTAATCACACTACGTTGGTTAGTGGATGGGGGAGCCAGCTTTGGGATCACTAATCACACTACGCTGGTTAGTGGATAGGACGAGCCAGCTTTGGGATCACTAATCACACTACGTTGGTTAGTGGATAGGGGGAGCCAGCTTTGGGATCACTAATTACACTACGTTGGTTAGTGGATAGGGGGAGCCAGCTTTGGGATCACTAATCACACTACGTTGGTTAGTGGATAGGGCGAGCCAGCTTTGGGATCACTAATCACACTATGTTGGTTAGTGGATAGGGCGAGCCAGCTTTGGGATCACTAATTACACTACGTTGGTTAGTGGATAGGGCGAGCCAGCTTTGGGATCACTAATCACACTACAGATCTGTGTGAAGCAAACAGGCCCAGAGATTTCACATGTTACATTTATATACTTTGAACTTACAAAGAACTTTCAAATGCTACTCCAAGCACATAACAATTATTTTGTTGTCCTTTGTTTTCTGCCCTAACCTCCTGTGCAGGAAAACGCTCCATATTGCTCGTCGGTTGGGCGACATAGCCATCGAGGCGCAGGCCTGCTACAGTCTTGGCAACACTTTTACTCTTCTTAGGGATTACGAAACAGCTGTAGACTACCATGAAAGGCACCACAGGATAGCACAGAAACTGAAGGACAGGTTGGCCTATAGGCAAATATCTAAAAGGTTTCCTTGCAACCAGGCAATTACCCTCCTGGGGAGGTTGGCTGGTTTGTGCAGCATGTTTTCATCCACCGGCTGAATTATGGTACTGCAGTTTGAGACCATTAGAAATGTTGTGGATATACCAGTATGTACAGTGTACATGTACGTGGCTAAAAGAAACATTTACATGTAGATATATCACAATTTGATGCACTTATGGCAAGGAAACTGCATATGTACACATTTATTTTGATGTTTAATATGCAGAGCTTATAGATTGTCAAAGAAAATGATCAGGAGACAGATGTGTTAAGCAATTAGCAACTTTTCCCAAGGCATGTACATGTACATGTACATGTTCATAACGGTATATCCCATATGTGGACCATTTCGAATGGTCCCTAATTTTATACTATAGACACAATGGTCATCCCTACAGTTTGATCTATATTTTCTAAGCGATAAGAAAAAATCACCCTGACTGCAATTCCAGCCAGGGTAGTGTGTCTGAAAATGAAAGTCTAAAGATTTCTGACCATAATTATCTTTAAATTGGTGACTGCTTTTATGACAAATCTTGTAAGTTCAGAACACGTTTTCCAATTTCCAAGAGTGATAAATTAATGCAAATTACCTGCCAAACAAATACTGATAGTTTGAAATCAGTTCCGGTGATATTTCCATGTCAAATAACAAAGGTCAGATGTAACAGGCACGCGAATATGTCACACATTTGGACCCCAAATTTCTGGAATTACCCTTTACAAAATGACATTTGCACATGTATGCCTGCCATCTGTGAGGAAGCCGTTGTACTGTACATGTACATGCTAACTAAAACAGCATCTGCATGTGTACATGTACTTGTGCGGTGGAGGCCAATTCAGCAGCCATGTGTTATGGTAATGCCACACTATCAGTGCAGATGGTGGGAGCACGTAAATTTACCTTTAAGAATGTGTGATACTTGCACTTAGAATATTGCAGCAGTGATGGTTTCATGTGCAAGCGTTCCTGTGCAGACATGATGCCTTGATGGTTTTCGACACTGTTTCTTGTATTTTTTATTTTGTTAGTTATTATTTTCTTGATGCAGGGTTGGAGAGGGTAGAGCCTGCTGGAGTCTAGGTAATGCGCACACAGCGCTGCAAAACCACCAAAAGGCACTGCACTATGCAACTCTTCACCTACAGATTTCCAGAGAGGTAATTTGCCAAACGTGTCTGATGAGCACCACCGGTGTTGATTGATTGCAGTTATCTTGTGTCTGCTGATCCCCACCTTAACGAATATCTGACTTGTGCATACAAATTTATGCGACCTTGAGTGCTGACCCTTTGAAGCCCACGTCAAAGATTGTGGTTTAATCTTGGTGCAAAACAAGAAGAAGCTGTCATGAACCTTTTCCTCAGATAAGCTGATTTCCTTGGTTTTTTTTTCTCTTCTCATGTGCATGCATGCCATTACCAAATCAGAAAAAGTCTTCCTCGGTTTAGATTGACTTTGTTTTTTTTTCTTGAATGCCCAGTGGGTGGGATTTCAGGGCTGTTGATTAGTTTGCTGCTGTCACTTTGTTGCATTTAGAACAAGGTGGCCTCCGTGAAGTAATCATCTTCGGAGTCTTCTGACATAAGATGTTGTTTTCCCTTGTCTTCAGCTCCATAAACTCTTTAATCCACTGACAAAAGACCAAAGTTTGCCCGGTTTTGATGAGCACTGTTCAACCCCTTCATTTGCAAAGGAAAAACAAGTGGCCATCTTTATTGCTGAATTTATCATGGAATTGATCAATCTACATGTACCAATGGTAATGACAGTTAATTCCCATTGATGGGCCATACTCTGTATGGTAATGTGAAGTGATGTCATCCCAAGTACTAAATTGATTCACATACAGAAATTTTGTAATCTATTCTGCAGATCAGCATTAATCATATTCAGGCATGCGGCATGGTTTCTCTCAGGTCTTACCAGTCCCATCCACCTTGGTCTTGACAGAATTTTGTCCTCTTCCCCCATAAGAAAGCCTCGCTCATTCCCCCTTACAAATCTCCCAGCCAATAGGGATGTGCCAATTCAGATATTTGGCTATTTGACCTATTATCAAATACGCTAATGTTTATTTTTGAAATCGAAGAGTCAGAGGTGATAATCAATGAAATAGAAAATAAGGGAAAAATCCAACTAGATGTATTTGGTTGCACAGTTTCATCCGTAACCACTTGCCAGCAGGGATTCCGGTTTCGGACACGTATTCTTTATACGCGTGGCTGGGGTTTTACGCAATTGGAGACCAGGAACTGGGCCGTCTAACAAAAGACCTTACCCATAACAAAAGACCAGGCTGCTGGGAATTACCAACATTTTTTCTATCTCAATAATGGAGATAATCCTGCCTTGTTTTGAAACAGTATACCACGGTTTGGGGCATTCAGTGCAAGCGGATTACAACTGGGGACAAAAGCACTCCACCGCAGCGATGAGCCACACACTACCGCTGTACGCTAATCTGGCCCCTATTGAAAAGACGTCAGCAGCGCACTGTGCCAGTTTCGTGAACAAAGATAACACCGCACAATCTGGGCTCTTTTTACAAGGCAGCAGGCCTGGCTGGAATACTCCAGCATCAATAGATGTTGCCTGTCAGATTAGAGTAGAAACCAGACCGTCCTTTGTGTGGGTGTAAGTGTCCAGCAAATGAAGATATGAATTTTTAAAGAATTTTGAAAACAGAAAAAAAAGAAAACTATTCCGTCCCAGCATCATCAATATTCATAAATGCCCCGAGCGTGAAGTGGTTTGAGTATAGTTCAGGATCCCACAAGTATTTATAGGCAGTAGAATGCATATATTCAACAGTAAGACCCATCCAACAGTAAGACCCAAAATGACTTTTCTTCAATGTTTTCCAATTTCGAACAAACATGTTTTGCTGTCTGCATTTGTGACAGTTTGATACATGTACAGATCAAATTGGGAGTGGAATATTCCAGTTTTGAGTTATTCAAATTCCGCCTCACCTTGCCAGCAAACTACCATTGGCTAATGCCTATTCTCCCAGTCGCAGGAATACTAAAGTCTTAAAGGTTCTTCCCCCCCCTCCTTTTTTCCAAGGAGATTTCAAGACATCTGTAATCTCAAACCTGCCATGTGTCTCATGTGTTTATTTTTCACGGTTGTTTATTGATAAGCTGTGGCCAAATCACATTTTTGTCTGTGTACATGTAGGTGTAATAATGAAAAGAGGAGAGACTCAAGGCTGAAGGGATTACTTGTATTTGATTTGATATTGTGAATTGATGTTTAATGTGCATGTATGTTACGGTAGCTTCCTTGTTACATAATTCCGGTTGATTGATCAGAAGTTCCTTTGTGAAAATGAAAGCATTCTCTCAGATGGCACAAAAGTACTCATGTGTGCTGGAAAAAAAATACACAAGCCAAACATTTCCTTGACAAGGATGAGAGATGAAATCCAATGGATGTCTTTGCTTTAAGTCAGAAGTTTACATAATCGGCATTGGCTGGCAGGGATTTCATAATTCATGTCATCAAAATTAACTTAAAATGGGAACAATTATTCAAACGAAAGAAAAAAAAAATAAGCTTGGCAGCTCCAGACTTAGTGTTTGCATTTTTGCTTGACACATTTTTCTGTTGCCTTGCTGAAGGCAGAAGAAGCAGTGTTCTTTCTTCTCAAATTGAATCATCTTGTTTTCTCTGTGTGTTGCGACCCATGTAAACAATCTTACCGCTAAGATGAGGTGATTTGGGGGTTGTTGTATAACGTGAAACTTTGCCGTGGCTCAAGTAACTGAAATCTGACTCTCATCGGTTCATACACAAAATGTAAAAATCCGTTTGGACTAAAGCGAAGATGAAAAAACCAGATGATCTGCCAAAATGTCATTGAATCGATATTTCTTATGATTACGTGTAATTCTCAGCTTACGTTTTTCATTTACTATTTTAGGTAGTGCTGCAGCTGAGTCACCAAACTGAACCCCAAATCATTGAACATTGCACTTCTGAACCATAAATGTTCAATATACATTGTATATAATGTTCGTACATACATGTATGCACATGCACATGTATGTATATAGACATATGCATGGTTAGCTAAGCATTGTGTGTGTTTATGAAAGGCATTTGGTAAGAATTCACCAAAGCTCAACTGCAAACATGCATCATGACTAAGTCTTTAAAATACAGCAAATTTCACAAGTCTCTACTGCATATATTTACTGTTACATTGCATGCACACAGGAAAGAACTTTTATGATAAAATCATTCATTGTTGTAAGATTCACCTCAGACAGTAATCTGAATGGGCGTGATGAGTTTCATGTTCAGATGTAAACAAAAAAAACACACACACACTATCAAATTGCACATCCATCTGGTTAATTTGCCATCAGCAGTCTTATTGAAAATCCAAGCGCAGCTGCAAGCACTACTCACTGTGCATTCCAGACTCCTATTTACCAGCAAAATCCATCTGTATTCATTGTCTCCTAGGCCCTGATATCGATGTAACTAATCTCTTCCCTTCCCTCTATACAACCAAGAAGCCTTATTGTTCACCACAAATTCAGGGGCTACCCATTTCAAAGCCTTTTAAGTAATTTTTTGTCTTCATACTGTTGCATTCATGTAGGTTGGAGACAAAACCGGAGAGCTGACAGCACAAATGAATCTGGCTGACCTCCGAGCCGTACTTGGACTAGACAAAGATCCATGCGGGTACATTCAATATTCTATTGACAGAACTCCATACGGGATTCAGGCCTAGGAATAAGTATTACAGTGAGCGTTACTTACTGGGGACGAGGTACCTGCATGTGTTAGGACTAGAAGAGTACCCTGTTTGGTTGGAAGAATCCTCTGGGACTAAACAAATACTCTTTGCTGAACATTCAAGATTCCTGTACAAATCCATTTGTGATGTTGCTAGAGACATTTGTTTTGTTTGCAAGGTGGTTTGCAAAAACTGCCATTTTCAGCCTACCGGTACAAGGAAATTAACTCATTTTAACGCATTCTTGTATTAGGAACACTTTGATCCATTTTGTCTTCATTTTTGTCTACCCATTGCTGGTTCTTTGAATTTCCTTCCACAAAGTTGACATTTATTTTGATCATTAACAAGTGACAGACCTGTCAATCGGAATGTTAAAAATGAGCTCAGAGTCAAGGAGCAATATTACTAGGTAACTGTTTGGGTCTACTGGCTCAAAGATTCTAATGTTTTGATTTCTGCCATATCTGTGTGGCTCCTGTGATGAAGAATAGTGCAGACATATCTGTAGGAGGATATTCCAAGTAACTTACTGTGATTGGCGTAATGGGTGCAGCATGGCAGACTGCAATGGGCTGAAGAAGTTTGGTGCTAAATCAGGAAGCTGAGAAAAATCAAACTACTAACTGGTGTTGAGTACGAATGCATATGGGCAAGACTATTGTGCTTGTGTTTTTCCAAATGCTAGTGCTACAGAGCTGGGTTCAAACATTTCAAGGCAAGTATGATTTGGAAAAGTGCAACTGAACTTTAACAAACCTTGTATTCAAACAGAAGTACATTGTAATTGTAATTAGCGGTACATTAATTGGCTATCACTTCAGTGTCATCAACCTGATTTTACCTTCTTGTCTAGCGCCTCGGATTAGTTTTCTAGATACATGATGGCGCTTTATAAGTGTTTATTATTATTATTGTTTTGAATCAAACACTGCCCGTGGGAGATGTGTTATAAATGAATACTGACTGCTTTACCTTGTGGTGTAGTGGAACTAGCCTCCATAGGTGATCCTTGGAGAATTCTACTTTTCCCTCAGCTTCGCTTAAAAAAAAAAGAAATGGAATGTTTCCATGAATCACCTAGAGAGGCTAGTTTTACTACACCACACCATGTGGTCTATACTGAAGTGAAAATAATAACATGTTCTTGTGGGAATGTGCTTTGGGAATATCAAATTGACGCACTGTAGCATTGGTCAGGTGTATTTGTATTAAGCATGAAAGGGAAAGAAGTCACATTTAGTTTCTTTTTCATTCTCCTTGCAGCCAAGATGGCCTTCTACAGAACGCTGATAAAAAGACACTCAAAGAAAAAGGTAGATGTTTTTATTCCAGTACCAACCCAGATACTGCAAGTTGTCTGTGGTGAAAACTGAACTCTTAAACCCTTTCAAATGTATTCAGTGGACCTGGACTGTCATAGTCCTAGATTTTTCGTTTGGAGAAAATGATTGAATGCATTCGTATATATGTGTATTATGCAGAATTAAATAAACAAATATAATAATGTCGGTATCCGAAATCATCGATCGTTACATACGTTAATGAGAGATATAGCAAAAAAATATGTAGTTTGAAACCCCATGCTGGTCAAAGTGCATTTGAAGGAGAGGTCCTGCTGGTTAGGGAAGATTTAATGTACATGTATGCTTGCATGCTGAGGTGTTTGTTTGCCAAATGACTTGTTCATCATAAGTAGCTGGACGCATATTAAAACCAAACAGAGACTTGCATGTACACGTACTTCTGTGATGAACTGATTGAAAAGGTAACTTGAGAGCTTTTTGTCCCATGCGTGTGAAAAGATGATGGTGCTTTCCCTTTCAGTGACACCCCTCTCTGGTGACTTACAACACTTACAAATTGAAGCATGAATAGTCTAGCCTTCTTATGTCCAGCAAGGGGTTGAAAGGGGTGGATATAAGAGGGCCCAAAGTTGGCCATGTCTGTTTGGTATTATTGGGGGTGCGAGCGGAGGACCATTTTTTAAATCCTCCTGTAAGCAAGAGCATGCTTTCTTGCCTGGATATGATGGCACTCATCAATTGCAAATGGGTGATTCCAGGGGAATCATTTATATTAGTAACTCGCAGGTGGTTTGGGACTGGGTATGTTTACCAAGAAGAGGATTCAACTCGGTAATGAGTGCTCCAAATCTCATTTGACTTTGTGTAGTTTCCGTTTGTGTTTTAGGTAGAGGGAGCCATAGGTTAGGTGTTTCATTTGTGTTAGAAGAAACCGGAGTCTTTTGGTGGTGGGGTTAGGCCTTGATTTTTGTGGCAGTATTTGTGGGCTTGCTTGCTCCATTTGTCCGAGCGGCATCAGGTAGTTCTGCAAATGGTATCCTCTCCGTGTTGCAACAAGAGAGGGCGTGTTTTTACAAAGCATCTTGGGGATGCTAACAGCTGGAAGTTTCTTTGGCTTTATACTGAGAGCTGTGTGTTTGCTATAACAGCGCACAGATGTTGATGATCTAAGTCTGATGTATGACATCATTGTTTTCCCAAGTCATCCTGAAGGAATTAAGGAACCGTGTTTCCATTTTTGCAGATGCCATATAAAAATGCCTAAGGAACTTTCATTTATTAACCAGTCATTACCAAACCACTTGGACTGTGTCGCTGTCTTATGAACAGAGGTTCTGCATGGTAGCCAATTTATAGTAAGAGCTTTTGTTCCACGGGGATACATAGGAGTAAACCCCTTTGTGCTATTCCTGCATAACAATATACATGTACCTTAAAGATGGCTGCCATGCACGATCTCTGTTAGTCTACTTAGGAACAATGTTTCATAAGAAATAGCATTCAGCAATCAATCCCATTCAAACAAGCCATTTGAGATTGTGATAAATTCCATTGCTATTACAGAAGCCTTGAATATTACACAGGGTTAATGTATGTGCATAGATCGTAACCCTAGCAGTCTTCAATCCTCCAACAGGTGACTAATTGAGGACCATTCAGCTTACTGATGTCACTTTGCGTTCTGTTGTATATATTTGTGTGGAACAATTCTTTTGCCCTGGATTAAGTGCTTTCAATGAAAAGAACAGAACGGTTTGTCTGGCCTTGAACGTGTGTCCCTTTTGTTCAAATGTTTTAGCATTAAATTTGTGTCTGCTATTGAAAGCTACATGGCATGTACAGGTGCAGCTATAAATTTGGCTATTGTAGCAAAAATTAAAAATTCTTGAAGGCAGTGAAGCATGGTGGTCAATACTAAACAGCAGGGTTATATGTGTCTTTTACAACCCAATTAGATTTTCTATCCAAAATGATTTTTTTTCCTGTGGCGCCCAGAAATGCTGTGTTGCATTTTCAATTTTGTTGCCATGGGAACTTCTTGGTATGTTGCAAAAAAAATTGAAGTAGCGTTTAGAGAGAGAAACAGATGAATATAAACTCACAACAAAATTGGAAATTGTCTCGTCTTGGCATTAGATGGCATCTCCATGGAAAATGTGCAGTTGTAGGCCGCAGATTGTGAGCTACAAACAGTTGATTGGACAAAGCTCCATGGAATGATGTTTATTTTTTCCTTTGCTTACATGGTAAAAGGCTGATACAGTTACTGGAAATAAAATTGGTTTTTTTTCCCCTGTTGTTCAAACATTTGATCCTTTTTTTTTTCAGAAGTCAATATGCAGCGTCGCCAAAGTATGGAGCGACTGGAATTGGTCACCATGACACCAGATAAAGTAGGCAACATAGTTTGAAGCAATGAATTAAATTTTCATGTGAAGTTGAATTATTTGTGGTTTTGGTTTGGTTTTGGAGTTGGTTTGTGGTTTAGGTTTGGGTATGGATAGCCAATTTGGTTTAGTTTGGTTTGGTTTTAGAGTTGGTTTGTGGTTTATGTGTAGGTTTAGGTTTGGGTAGCTGATTCGGTTTAGGTTTGGTTTGAGTTGGGTTGGGGTTTTGGTTTGGTTTTAGAGTTGGGTTGTGGATTACGTGTAGGTTTAGGTTTGGGTAGCAGATTTGGTTTAGGTTTAGGTTGAATTGTGTTGGGGTTTTGGTTTGGTCTTAGAATCGGTTTGTGGATTACGTGTAGGTTTAGGTTTGGGTAGCAGATTTGGTTTAGGTTTAGGTTGAATTGTGTTTGGGTTTTGGTTTGGTCTTAGAGTTGGTTTGTGGTTTACGTGTAGGTTTGGGTAGCGGATTTAGCAGATTTGGTGTACACTGTCGGTTTGGTTTGAGTTGGGTTTGGGTTTTGCTTTGGTTCGATTCGGTTTGGGTTACAGTAGTTTTCGGTTTGGGATGCAGTTTGGTTTGGGATTTGCTTGACTTCGGGTTGGAGTTTTGTAGTTGGTTTGAGTTTGGGTTCAGTTTAGCTTGGTTTGGGATTTTGGGGGATTTAGATTTTTGGATGCCATTTGGGTTTGTTCATACGTTGAGTTTGGCATTAGGTTTGGGATTTGCTTTACTTTGGGTGTGAGTTTTGGAATTGGTTTGAGTTGGGTTTCAGGTTTGCTTCGTTTGGGATTTGTTTGGCTTTGATTTGGGGTTCCATTTGGGTTTGTTTATGAGTTGAGTTTGGGGTTGAGTTTCATGTTTGGTTTGAGTTTGGATGTTGGGTTAGGATTGGGGTTTGGCTTAGGATTTATTTGGGGTCTGGGTGTGGTTTGAGCTTGATTTTGGGGGTTTGGGTTGGGTTTGGGTTGCGGCTCTTTTGGATTTTAAGTTTGGGTTGGTTGGGTTAGGTTTCGTTTGAGGTTGGTTTCAGTTTTAGTTGTTTTGTTTTACGTAATGGTACATGAAGTTTATCTCATTAAAATAACTTAATTTAAACTTGGCATTGAAAAGCTAGCAATATACAATACGTCACATTATTTAATTGATTTTTATAACAGGTATCATACTTCATTTTAGTATTTGATGTCATCAGAAAGGTTACATTTCAGACTCATTACTTAGATACATTGTATGCACACTGTTCCGTTTGGTGTTTTCAATACACTGCCTGGTAAAGATCCTGGCTCACTGAATCCCCTACACTTTTTGACTGTCCTCATGCACTAACTAACACTGTGTACCTAATGAAGTGTTTGACTGCTGTCATTCTGTTTCCTCAGAATGCAGCAGGGGCAACGGCCAATGGCAAGACCAAGCTACCTGCAGGTGCCAAGTTCAAGAGGAAAGGCAGCAACAAGGAGAAGCTGAGCAGGAAGAGCTCCAACACCTCCAGTACCAGCTCCAGCAGCGGCGACTCGGCGGCATGCCTCAGGACTGAGAACGTCAACATACAGGTCTCCCCTCAGCAGGTTGGTACAGGGGCTCCAATCTGAGCCACACTTCCTTTTTCAGAGGGCTTTCAGTTCCACCTAGAATAGAAGAAGCAGTGGCTGAAATTCAACTATCTGCCTAAAACCCTAGTAGCCAGGGGAACTAGTTTGTCAAGTTTTAATACATGTAACTAGGGGAGCTAACATGGATCATCCATCCAAACTAAACCACGCTATAACACACCTCTTGCTGGTTCTTTACCCTGGTTAGTTAAAGCGTAGTTTACATGGGATTAGGAGGCTAGTACATGACGTTTGTGTCATCATGAACTAGATGCCTACCTTTACATCTCATGCATGAGATCTCTCACACGATGTGAAGAGTGATCAGCAACTCAAAATCTGAATCTAGAGAAACTAAAAGTGTTCCTTTCATTACTAATTTGCCCTTTGAATTGCGTACAAATGAATGGTTGAAGTAAACTATTTAGTGATAAAACTCTGCAAAGTTTCTTTTCTTATTTTACATTTTGGACAAAGATGTGCCATAAACTGCAAACAAACTGGCCTTATTAGGTCACTCTTGTACATCCATGTCCCCTTGTGCCTTTGGCCACCATGCTGGTCGGTTGACGGCTTTGTGCACCGTGTATTTTTGTCATTTTCACAAGCATACAAAATGTCCTTTTTGTTGCTTGACCCCTTTCCTACCCCCCTCCCAAAAAGACGTACAAAATGAAAGGAAAAAATGAAGATTTCTGTGCTTGGTATTGTCATTTCTATATTTTGAAAAACGTACACAGCCACGTAAAATGACCTCTTAATGGTAGTTATGACTCTTGGACACCAGCTACGTGACAGGGCTTTGACCAATAGGAATGTTTCAACCGTCGTAGGGTTTTTACATGTACATGTATAAATACAGTGTAAATTCATGTAACTCTTTAGAGTCACTGGGGTGTCGCACTTAGTTTAAACCCGGGGGTGTCGCACTCCGTTTAAACCCATGGGGGTGTCGCACTCCGTTTAAACCCACGGGGGTGTCGCACTCCGTTTAAACCCACGGGGGTGTCGCACTCAGTTTAAACCCACGGGGGTGTCGCACTCACTTTAAACCTACGTGGGTGTCGCACTCACTTTAAACCCTAGGGTGTCGCACTTAGTTTAAACCCGGGGGTGTCGCGCTTAGTTTAAACCCTGGGGTGTCGCGCTTAGTTTAAACCCTGGGGTGTCGTACTCAGTTTAAACCCTGGCACTGTGCAAGTTTGTTACCCCCATCACATCTGCAGTAGAAAAAGCGGAGTGGTTTCATTTATGTTATGTTCCCACCACAGGGTGTGAATTTCACCTCCCTTTATTGATTTGCTAGGGTTGTCTGTGGTAAAAAGTCTGCCACATCAGGCTTTGTCTCATCAATGTGAATTGGTACAGGCGTCCATTTCAATGCAGCAATCTTTCATACTAGCATGACTAATGGTTTCCCATATCCCGGGTACGGTCTCAGCACTTCAGATGGCCAGCAGTTTATTCCTAGATTATATAGGTCCTATACAATAACGATTGGTACCGGTAGATCGTCGATCACGTCATTGAAATATTTGTTCTATTCAACATCAGAACTTCACGCACTTGAATGGTTCTCACTCCCGTTTCATATATCTCATTCCCAGAAAAAAAGAGGAAAATCATGTAGAGACAGTGGGTGGCACTTTGAACACCTCTGTTTTGCAAAATGACAGATGTTAACACGCAAATGGGACTTGTTTGTTCTAAGAGAAGAGGATTTATGCAAGTAGTGTATAAACAAAATAAGGGAATGATGCTCATTTGTGCTTTTTCCCCGTGGGATTGAATATTTCATCTTTCACCTCATGAAATCACTGTATTCTTACCGTTACACTCATAAACATTCATTATTTGTATCATGAAACTCGTGCCTGCACATGTATAATTGGGCAAAGGAAAATCATCCAGGGAGAAATAATTCACTCTTGTCAGGGAGAGAGTCACACATTAACATCCTGTTCCATGTGAAATCTACCAGTTCTTGTCAAGGACAGTCAAATAAGAGTTGTCTGCACTTCAGGAAATTCTGTACCCAACTATTTGAATATACATGTACATTTAACAAAGCAGTGTTGGCTGTGTGGTTGGATACACATCAGCAAAGCAACATCAATCCGGGGGTCGTAGGGTCAGTATGCATTCAAAAGAAGCATGTACATGTAGGCACTGCGGCATTACAAATTGTTTCAGTGCTGAGGACTTTTGTGGCATGAAACTCGAGTATAGAGACCTCCTCCTGATCTTGTGTTGCATGCTAGTCATTTGGCACTTAAGATCTGCAAGTTCTCTGCTAGTAGGCCAGTATGAGGAACTGGAAGGCATTATTTCAACAGGTTGGTGTGTATTTCTGTGGCTTTTTCCCTTCTTTTTCTGATTCAAACTTCCTGCCACCTAAATCACACATATGCGGCTATGTATTCAAGTCTAATGTATCCTTAACCACTTCCTGCTGGGGATTCCGCATTTGGACACATATACTTTACATATATGCTTGGCCGGGGTCTCCGAACTCGGACAAAGGGAACAGGGCCTTGTAACAAAAGACTGTACTTGGAACAAAAGAGCAGGCTTCTGGGCATTACCGACATTTTTTCAATCTCAAAAGTGGAGATAATGCAGCCTTGTTTTGAATCAGTATATCACGGTTTGGGGCATTTAGAGTGAGCAGATTACCACCGGGACGATGAGCCACACAGCACA